GCTTTACAGTACCCCCCCCCCGCGCCCCCACCCACACAGACGCAGGCAAGCATATGAATACATTTGAACCCAGGCGGTCTGTGCTCTTCTTTTATCTTGCTGCATGACCTGGTTTCTTGGGGTGATGGATGAACCAGGGACTGAGGTGGTGGCTGAGAAAGATGTTTGCAGGTGAAGACACAGCCTTCCAACTGAGGACACCCTGGTGTAGGCGGAAATCCAGACACCACCTGCTCTCAAGTTGTAACAGGTCTCCCAGTCCCCTTCACAATTCCAGGCCACACAAGGCATGGACTAACCCCTTCCCCCCCCCACCGTCTCCTCTGAGCACCATTAAGACAGGTGGCCTTTCAGGAAAAGGTCACAGAACCCAGGTGGCTCTCATGGCCCTTAGCTCGTGTCTCTGGCCCAAGTCACAGTCCCTTCCAAACCCCAGTGACTCTGAGACCCACCCAGCCCTATCTGTTGTCCCCATCCTCTGGTTCTCCCTTCTTATGTGGGTCCTTACTTTCCAGCAGGGTGGTGTCTGTTAGTTCATTTGTTTGTCATGGTGGGGTTTGAACCCTACACCTCACACATGCTAGGCAAGTGCTCTACCCCTGAACCATGCTCCTGTCCCCTTTTTTTAAGCTTTTAATTTTGAGATAGGGTCTTGCAAAGTAGGTCAAGGATGGTCTTGAACTTTTGGCCCTCCTGACTCAACCTCCTGAGTCCTACGTTAGGAGTTTGTGACCTCCATAGCCCTTTCTCCTCTGACTCATTGCCTCTCACAGCTTTCCCAGCTAGTCCATTTTATGTATGAAGACACTGAGGCCAGCAGACTGGCCCAAGGTCACATAGGGACAGGGGCAGAGCTAGGCTGTGGTCTTTCTCTCCTGGACTTTTTAGCCTCTCTGGGGAAGAGGAGCCACTCGGTTCAGAGTCTGCCTGTCGGGAATGGGGCAGAGGCTCCTTGAGTTAATGCACTTCACCTCACACGACCGACCTCACAAATATCACTGGATCTGCAGGTCCACCTGTGGCCTGTGGCCTGGGCCGCAGCAGCTCTGTATCCTGTTCCCTGCCAGAGCAGGTGGAAATAGCGTGAACTAAGGAAATCTCACCAGCAAAGACAACACCTGAATACTTGTGTCCTGGCAGCTACGCCTAGGAGAATGCTGACCCACACACACAAGCCTCTGCCCCCCTCCAAGGGCTGGAAGGCAGAGCTTGCTCTGGATGTGAGTGCACATGCTTGACCAGGCTGTGTGACCTTGGATGAGTGATGTAACATCTCTGAACCTCAGCTGTGTTCATCTGTGAAAAGAGAATAGACGATTCATTTTGGAGACATACGTATAAATGTAACATGTGTGGACGTGTCTAGCTAGAAGCTGTGAACACAGTTAAAATCCGGGGGATAGAAGGGATAGGCAGTGTGGGGTTATATCATTAGCCTCTGTACCAGGCACCAGGCAGCTTGTCTCTGTCACAGAAAACAAAACAAAACTAGCTAAAGACAGTTCTGGGGAGATGGCTCAGTCAGTAAAGTGTCTGACTTGCAGGTACAAGAACCTGAGTTCAGATCTCCAGTACCCACAAAAAAGCCGGTGGACTCTGCGTTCAGGGAGAGAAATTGGGACAGGCAGATTTCAGCCCAGTCCTTCTGGCTGAATCAGTGACCCTCAGGTTCAGTGTATCAAAAAATGAGGCAGACAGAGTGCTGTTGAGGACATCACCTGATGTCAACTTCCATACACATTGCACAGGTACATGCGCCTGCACACACCTGTACACACACAGATATGCCTGTATATGTAATACACAAACCTTTACACACACAGATACGTGTGTTTGTATAATACACACACCTGTACACACAGATATGCTGTATATGTAATACACAACCTGTATACACACAGATACGTGTGTTTGTATAATACACACACCTGTACACACAGATATGCATGTATATGTAATACACACACCTGTACACACAGATATGCATGTATGTATAATACACACACCTGTACACACAGATATGCATGCATATGTAATACACACACCTGTACACACAGATATGCATGCATATGTAATACACAACCTGTATACACACAGATACGTGTGTTTGTATAATACACACACCTGTACACACAGATATGCATGTATATGTAATACACACACCTGTACACACAGATATGCATGTATGTATAATACACACACCTGTACACACAGATATGCATGCATATGTAGTACACACACCTGTACACACAGATATGCATGCATATGTAATACACACACACACACACAAGCTAGGAGGTGGTTCCATGGCAGGCAGTTGCTGCCTTTGAGACACCTGTTGGAGGCAGAGGGATTGGTGGGAGGTGGGGTGGCTCTCAAGTCCAGAAAAGCCGCCTTGGGTCTCAGAGAGAACATCTCTGCAGGTGTGATGCCCTCAAGCCCACTGATCACTTGGATGACCTCATCCTGCAGAGCCGGCAAGTCCAGAACCCACCTCGGCGACTGTTCCTGGGCTCCAAATGTCAGAATTTCACAGCCATCTGCCCAGAGTCAGTCCCTCACCATGCCAGCCTCAGCACTGACGCACCTCACCCTCTAAGCGTCCCTCGCGGAGTGTCCCTTGGGGCCCGGGCCCAGGCCTCCTCCGCTTTACACAGTGATGGAGAACTGAGCCGAGCTCCTCCCAGTCAGTGAAACCCAACCCCCACCTTCCCATAAGACCAACCATACCCAGCCTGGCACCAACTCCCTCTTCCAACAGGACCTGGACAGGACTGTCTCCAGTGCATCAGGGGACACCTTTTGTCACCATCCAGGGATGCCAGTCTGAGAAGTCAGACAGAGGCAGAGCATCCTTGGGGGTTCTGGATTAAGCCGTACCTGAACCTTCATGGATTTAGTAATCTCCCCCCCATCTTAAGGCAGGGTGGATTACACTGTCCTGTCACTTTGTCCAGGCAAAATGTCTGCATGAGAAACTTAAATTCCTGCTTCATACTCTTGTAAAGCTAACTAGGCTTTTAAAGTAAAGTCAAGGCTGCCAGGATTAACACAGACTCCGAGCAGAAGGGCTGGATAGGATCATCTCCTTGGGCTTTAGGACATGTGCTTTCAAGCTGTGTGACCTCAGACAAGTCTCTAAACCACTCTGAGATGCTGCGTCTTCACATTTCTGCAATCTATGTCAGGGTGCAGTAGGGTGATGTACCTAAAGCAGGAGGCACACAGTAGGTGTTCAATAAATGTACCCCAACAATATGGTCCACCTAACAAAGCTGACAGAATAGAACGTGTTAATTGCCAGGGCTTCCCTCCTGGTGGAACCTGACCCTGGTCTATTGCTTTCATCCAAGAAAGAAAAGGAATAGTATTTTGAAGCTAAAGGGACTCGAATTTAAGTCATACTCCTGCTCTGTGATGTTAAGCAAATTGGTCAACCTCTCTGAGCCTTTTTCTTCTATCAGTTTAATGGGAAAGGCATTGAGTACCTCTTGAGAAGTCATAAGGACTGGAACTCCTTCCTGGATCCTGAAGCCATCTCCTGAGTGCAGAACCTTCTTAAGACAGTACTGCCTTGCTCCGTGAACCAGGCTTGGAAAACCCAGTTGCTTTGTGAGACGTTGATCTTGATTGTCAGCCTGACCAAGCTTAGAGCCCCCTAGGATTTAAAAAAGCTCACCTCTAGAGAGTAGCTCACGAGGCTGTGGCCTGACCCCTGCCTTAATCCAAGGACCCACCCAGAGTGGCACTGCATTGTGGGAAGGTGGCAGACTGAGGAAGGAGGTGCCACGCCAGAGACCAGCCTTTCACGGGCACCTTACACAGGACCTCTCCCTTTACTCCGCCGTGCCTCTCGGTCTCCGTGGGATGAGGCACGCTGGTCCACCATGCTCTACCTGCTACAGTGGAGCAACTCACTGGCTGGGACTGACGTCTCTGAAACTGGGAGCCAAAATAGGTTCTCCTCTTACGAGTGGTTTTCCCTGGTGTCTGTCAGGGGCAAAAGGAGAACATGCTAAGATGTGTCCGCCTGGTGCGCTACGGATGTTTTTGTTTTTGTTTTCCTCACCGCCCATCCAGGCTCAAGCTGGGCTTCCCCACCGCAGTCCACCCTCCACTCAAAGCCAATGGAGGCGAGGGAGGAGTGGCACTTCTCTGTCACTAGTCTTCCATGGAACACTGGAACTCTGAGGCCACTGCCAAGAATGGGACGTCATGGCCGACCGTGTCAGTGCCTGCAGGTTTGCTTTCAGGGTAGGGGAAAGGAGAGGAGAACTTCATGGTGTTTATATTAGGCACTCAATAAATTCTCGTGTTTATCCCTCCAGTCACATGTCTCCAAACTCAGGCCTTGGACAGTATCTGCAACCCAAGACACTAGATCAGAGAGACCCTTTGAAAATCAGGAAAGTGATGGGCCTTTCTCCCTCAGGGTGCCCTTGCCAGTCACATTTGGGCATACATAGTCAGGGCTTCCTAGCTTCCCTCAAACTCAAGCATAGCTGTGCTTCACAGATGGGAAACTGAGGCCCAGAGGAAGAGGTTTATCCAAAAGTGGGCAATGTATCTCTTTCTGCCAGACATTGGCCTACTTACATGGAAATACCAGCTTAGGTCCTGGCTGCAGGTCTAGAACCGTGATCTGCAGGCCCTTAGCACCCCACATCACTGCCACAGCTATCACCCCAATATTTCAGGGTGTAGTAAGAACATAGTATGTGCAAGAAACCCTGTTCTCTTCTTTCCCTCTTCCTTTACTTGCAAGCTTGGAACAAAGTGTGGCTATCACCTGAGGTGATCATGGAAGGCTTCATGCAAGAGGTGTGCCCTGCTTGGACCTCGGTGCTGGGTGCTGTCGGGAGGTAGGGGCCAAGGGTTATTAATAGGCCTGGCTCAATAGAGCTGGATGGGGGTGAATGTGATCCAGACACCCAGCACCACGGCTGGGGAGGACCTGACACTGGAAGGGGAGGGGGCCAGGGGCTGGGGGAGCGGCACCTCCCAAAATAGCCAGGACTGAAGACTATTTAAATGGCTGTCCCTCCACCCGTCTCATTTCCCAACAGGATCTCCCACCAGCCCAGTTTTGCTGTACAGGCTCCGGCCTCTGCCCATTCAAGGTAAGTGACAGCCTCTTTGGATGGAGGATGGAGAGAGCCGAATCAGGCTAATGGAAGGGATGGCCATGTTGCCATTTCTCTAGATTCAAAGTGGCCGTTGCTGAGGGTGGGACTCCTGAATTCTCTACCTGCCTGTTGGGTGGCCTGGGCAAATCCTTCTCCCAAGGCTGGGCCTCAGCTCTCAGTCTGTCAGACCTAAAAGGTAGAGCCATATGTATGCATACTCTAGTGGCGCCATCAAGGAGGCCAAAGGGCAGAGAGGTGGGAAGCAAGTACATGGGTGGGGAGTTGATTGGCTGAGCTGACCATACCCACGCTTCACTGAGGAGGTCTCAGGCCCAGAAAAGGTGGTCCAGCTGCTGAGGATTCAGCAGCAGCTGAGGAGGGAGAAGGCGGGTGGGGAGTGGTGTAAGCTTTGGCGCAGGAGCCAGCATGGGGCTCAGATGCACTGGGTTTTGTAGGACTGAGCAGGGGGCTTGAGGAAGGGTATCTAAGGTTGATAGCACACCAAGTCAATGAGCCAGAGCCGCCCCTGCTCTGCCACTGCCTTCATAGGGGTCTTTGGGCTCTTAGAGACTCCGGGTTCCGCATAGTGCGAGGGTCTCCAGCTGGGGAAACAGATGCTGTAACTAGGCCACAGGGTAAGCAGAGCTTGGATGCAGACATGACAACACAGAAGCCTGGCGTGTTGGGGCAGGCAGTCCAGCTGGGAACAAGGGGCCGAGGCTGAGGCCACCGAGTCAACTGAGTCAGGAGCCATAGGAGCTAAGGCAGCTCAAGGGTCTGGGACAGCTGAGGGGTCTCAGGCAGGCCTCATGCCCAGAGCTATGAAATCAGGGGCCCGATGCCAGCTGGTAGGCTCTGGCCCAAAGACGCTGACTCACCAGGAGGGGGCAGCTGGAGCCAGCTACTCCTAAGGTTTCCAGGAAGGGCAGTCCTCCAGGGCTCAGTCAGGGGAGACAGTGTTGACAGTGAGTGTCAGGCAACTTGAGCTACTGGGCAGCTGGGCAGCTGTCCCTTGGTCCCCAGTATCATCACTAACCCAGACACGGCTCACCTGTATCAGGTCCCACACAGGGGTACACCCACCTCCAACACAACGCAGGCTGACCAAAACACAGAGATAAAGGTTATAGCTCAAGGTCATGCAGGGATTCAGTGATGCCCACAAGTAGAACCCAAGCCTCTGGAATCTCACTCCAGTTCTCAATACTTCAAAGGCTGCTAGGCACAGTCTGAATCCCCGGAGATCCGGGGAAGATGGCATTGTACCCTGGTCCATGAGATGGAAAGTGCCCTGGTTCCTAGATGGGTTGCTCTGATCACAAAACCTGGGTGGCCTAGAAAGTGTGGTCTGATGGTGCCACCCCTTACCCCAAACATACGGCCAAATAGAAAGGTGGGTAATTACTCCACGGAGCTTCCCCCAGCTTAGACTCCTTAGGGGGATCTTTGGGAGTTAGAGGGAAGATGGTCCGGAAGTCCGAGAAAGGGGTCTTCTGTGCTGGGACCTTCTCTCAGAAACCAAATCAAGTTTCAGAATGTGCTGCCTTGGTCAGGTGAGGGACAGAGCCCAGACAGAGCCTCTGCACCCAGGTCTGTCCGGGTCCAGGACACCTCCTCCCTGGGTCCCGTGGCTCAGGTTTCAAGACCTTGGCATTCCGATTTTTCGCGGCATAAATTTGCATCCAGAACAGAGGAGAGGAGGCTTCTGGAAGCGCAGGGGAGAGAATGAGTACAAGACCAGGAGGGCCACTGGGGTGGAGACTGGCCAGCATCATTTTTTTTTCCCCCCAGCGAGAGGACATTATCCGAGAAGCCCAGATCGGGGCCTCGCTGCCTGCAGTATGCCCTTGACTGCTAGGTAATTCTCCATTCCCTGCTAGTGGCCCCTGAGATCAGGAGGTGGCCCCTGGCGGCGGGGTCCAGGTCGGAGCTCCAGGATGCAGAGGAACCACGGGCGTGGGGTCCTCTCGGTTTAGCGGCGCGGCAGGACTGAGCTGCTGAGCTGCGCGCGGAGCCGGGCGCCCCCTGGCGCGGAGCCAGGACGGGCGGGCGTGCGCCTGGCGCGCGACACTGCAGCGCTGGTCATATGAGCAGAAAGGATGAGAAGAACACTTTTTAATCTTTTCGCACTTGCTCTGCCCGCTCAAACAGTTGCAGGATGTCGATGACAGACTTGCTCAACGCTGAGGACATCAAGAAGGCGATAGGAGCCTTTGCAGGTGAGCAGTGCACTCCCCTGCCTGGCCCTGTCCCCTTGCCCTCTTCCCGCGCCTAGGGCACCCCGCATCCCTCTACGAAGCCTCCCCAGTTTCTCCCGCCCACACATCGGTCCCCATCCTCGGGGTTGGCTCCCTGGTCCTCTGCCTTCCAAGAGCTGCGCTGGCTGTGCGCCCTGCCTGAGCCACACAAAGTTGAGGGCGCAGAAGGGTGGCCTCTCTGGGAGGACTCTGGGGTCCAGAACCAAGCACGAAGACCAGGGTGGGAAGAAGGAAGCTCTAGGATTCTGGGGCAGGAACCAGAATTCTCCTCTGAGAAGTGTAGAAGGGGCTACAAACCCGGGCTTTCTCTCCAAGAGACCCCTTTCCTCCACCTCCATTCCCAACAAGACTTCCTGGAAGATAGCCCCTACCAGGACAGACCTCAGCGCACAGTGACCTTTCCACAGCAGGCACCCATCCCTGGCCAGCCCTGCGCAGCACCCCTTTAGAACCCCCAGCTGCCAATCCTTTTAGGTAGTCCTGGAGAGGGAGCCCACTCAACTGTGTAACCTCTTTACTCTGAAGGGATTCTAGCTTAGATGCTGCTCCTCTCACCCGTGTAGGGAAACTGAGGCTGGAGTAGGACGAAAGATGTAGAAGGTCAGGGCTGCACACGAAGGATGAGAGCTAGGGGTGGCCTCAGATCTCATTTTGATGTGTCAGAGGTGGACAGAGCAAATTTCTTTCCCTCCAGCTCTGGGCTGAGGGGAGACCACGGTTCCTAAGAGTCTCTTGACTGAGGAGGACACCCATCTGGTATTTTTTTTAGCCCTCTTTCTTCCAGGCACACACAGGAAGCTACAGGAAGCCCCCTTCCCTTCCCAGAGCTCTATGACTGTGACTTGAGTCACCTTGACACCTTGAGAAGAAAACTTAACTGAGCCTTTGGAAGTCCTACGTCCTCCCACCCATCCCTCACCCCCCAGCCACTGGTCTCTGAGTCTGGGCAGGATTTCTGGGTCCTCCCCTCCCCCTCCCATGATGTGACCTTGACAGAAATGTGTTGATTTTTCTGACGACAGTATAGGGCCAAGAGAGAAAGCTGCCTGTCCTTCTGCCCATAGTAGCATCCCTTGCCTGCCCAGGTGCAGCCCATCTGGGCACCACCCAAAAAGGATTCCTAGAATTACAGTTCTCTGGCGGCTGACAGGCTCTGGGTGGCTCCTCAGTGCATATATGGGGAAGCCAAGAAGATACGACCTTGGCCAGAGCCTTCTTTCCTAGCTGGGCTCACTCTGCCCCCCTGTTCCCCACAACTGGGCAGGTGTCCTTTAACCAATGCTAGAACACCACTCCCTTCCCTGACGTTTCTCGGTGCCCTTCTCCATCCTTCCTTAACCTCCTCCTCCCGCCAACAGCTGCAGACTCCTTCGACCACAAAAAGTTCTTCCAGATGGTGGGTCTGAAGAAAAAGAGCCCCGATGATGTGAAGAAGGTGTTCCATATTCTGGACAAAGACAAAAGTGGCTTCATCGAGGAAGATGAGCTGGGGTAAACTGAGACCCGGGGGGGAGGGACCTGGTGCTATGTCCTTAAGTCGCTCTGTACCCGCATAGCATGCAGGGTTTACTTTGTCTCCCCAGGGCAATGTCCCAGACTCCAGGGAAAGATGCCTCCTCCTTCCGGGAGGGTCAAACCCTCAGCTCAGAGGGCAGCTAACTAGGTTAAATTATAGCCACTTAATATCGCTAATGGAACGGAGTTACTTAATAATTTAATACCAATGAGGAGGCACTTATTCTAGCTGCCTCCCACCACAGGCAAGGCAGGAGGCATTCTCCTTAAAGTGTCATTGATTTCCATGTGTCTGAAAGGCACCTTACCCGGTCTGTTCCGCAGACCCCATGCCCCTGGACCAGAACTGCAGCTAAGCAACTTCTAGGCAAGCTGGGGGGGCGGGCAGAGCCAGCTCTGGGACTTCAGAGTCCTTGGAGCAAAGCACAGAGGAAGACAAACCCCCATCAGCAGAGAGCCCTCTGCCCCTGTCTGCCTCAGCCACCTGGCTTGTATTTGATGACCCAGCTGTTAGAAACAGGAGGAGGAAGGTGTTTAGGGATACATTTTAAGTAGGAACTTCCTCAATCTGTCCTGTATCTCCTCCAAATTTTACCCCAAGGGCACCTTCTTCTAGAACCTTCTTCCACCCGCCTATCTATGTCTGAAAAGTACATGTACATGCATGTGCAGTCACATGCTAAATGCTCCCTAACCTCAAGTTGTCACCATGTCTAAAGAGCCTCCCAACTCCTCCTTCACCTGGGCAGGAGGCATGTGCTCCCCTTTGCCTCCTCCATCAGAGTGTCCATCACACAGGAGGTCGACTTGTCCTCTTCCCCATTTATGCAGGTGACCTATTACAATCAGTATGGCGACCCCAGCTTTTATATATTTATTGAATAAGCAGAGACAAGTGTCCTTTTAACTTGGGTCAACCCTGCACAGAGAACTGTCATCCACCCCACACTGACCCACCAAGGGTCAGACCAGACTAGCTGGCCAGCCTAGCTGTGCACATGTGCCCATACCCCCCATACTGCCTATCCCAGCTTCCCCTGCCCTGTGCAGATGCCAGCCCACCATCCAGTGAGGTTCTACAAGGTGACCTTGACTTGAGCCCCTCCCATTTTCTCCCTTTTCTCCTCCAGGTCCATTCTGCAGGGCTTCTCCCCAGATGCCAGAAACCTGTCTCCCAAAGAAACAAAGACGCTGATGGCCGCTGGGGACAAGGATGGGGATGGCAAGATTGGGGTTGAAGGTGGGTAGCCGTGACCATGACTCTGGGAACATTGGGACTCTGGGGTGTGTGGCTGCTTAAGTTTTGGTCTGTTGAAAGGAAGAGGGGATGAGAAAGAGAAAACCCAGGTCAGAGAGCCCCATTGACAACCAGAGCAACCCCTCTCTCTCCCCCTCTCTCTCTAGATACAGATACAGATACAGATACAGATACAGATACATGAGTAACCCATTAGAACTGGCTTTCCCCCTTTCCTGCTGTGTGAAGGAATGTGGGAGGGAGAATTGGAGATTTTCCCTGCTTTTTTGGCCTGGGTTCTGATCCAGGATCTGCCTACACTGGTTGTGTGACCTTGGGCAGTGTCTCTCCTTCTCTGAACCCGAGGCTCATGTCTGTAACCAGAGGAGACAGGCCCACTGATTCCCCAAGGACCCTCAGGCTGTTGTAGTATCCAATTCCAAGGATGGAAATTCCTTATCTACTGCCCTCTCAGCATCTCTCCCTGGTGTCCTGTAACCTCAGATAGGTGTTTGGCTTCATACAAATACACCATCCCTTCATGGTTGGAGAGCCAGGGAATAACAGTCACCCAGGACCCAGCTGGGAGTTAGGATGCACTGGAGGCTTCAGCAACTTTGTTCAGAGCCCAGGCACAGCCCAGGTGGCCCACTACCCCACATCCTTGTTCGGTTAACCTGTCCGGCGTCTATGGGGTGCACTCCAGAGCTGTCAGATCTCTTTTGATACTTTGCAGGTGGCCAAAAGGATGCTCACAATCTTAGCCTGGCTCGGAGAGTTTGGATGCAGGGTGTGGTGGGAATTTTGGGTCTAGTCTGAATGTGGCTGAGCAACATGCTCTGCCACCATTGGCTTGTGTGGCAGCCTTTTAAGCAGATAGCAAAGAAAACTATCTCAGCCTCGCTAGGGGAGTTGCATAACTATTTTGGGTCTCAGAGTTTTCATCTTGAGGGAGTGATGGTTCCTCTCATGGGGAATCCATGAGGATGCGGTGCGCTAGTGTGTAAAATGCTCGGGCCAGGAGCAGGCGCCGAGCACCGAGCAAGCGCCTTTTGTGTGCCGTTAACTAAAGGAAAGGGAAACGGGGGCCTGGTTGCATCTGCACTCTAAGCCCCCAGTGTCTATTCCACAGACGAATCAGGAACCTAGTAAATATCTGTTGCCTGATGGGAATGTCCAGACCCCCACACTTCCCTTCTGCTTCTCATCACCATGACCTTGGGCACAGCCCTTGCTTGCCTGTGGCTGGGTTCTCTTGCCTGGCACGTGGGGTGCATGAGCTTATCCTGGGACCTGTGAATGGTGTGAACACAAATTGCTTTGGGGAACGTACAGATTCTGCAAGTACGTGGGAAGTTATTAAGGAAGTTACAGTGGCAGCAAGTATGAAGAATCCCTACTGAGTTCGAGTGCAGGGGCGCCCTGGCCGTAGGACCCCCAACGTTCTTCTTTCTGATGGCGGGAGGGGGGCTGAGCAGAGAGTGTGGGAGAGAAACCTCGTGACTTGACAGTTCCTAGTGATTCTGGCAACAGTTGCCTTCACACCCCCTTCCCACCAACTCCACCCCAGGACCTGGCGTCTACTGCAACTTAACTTGCCCTCCATTTTTTGAGACGCAGCCCAGAGCCAGAGGCAGGGTCTTCAAGCTGGCTATTCCCAGTCAACCTAAATGAGGAAGAAAACCAGGGCAGGCCTTGACCTGGTTCCCTCCTCCCACCCCTGCCGTCTGCCATACTTGGTCTTAAAGAACCAACTAAACTCTTCCAAAAGATCCACAGGCATCTCCCAAGGAGCAATGGGATGCCTAGCATCAGGCAAAATAAAGATAATTAGGACGAAGGTCCCGATGAAGGAGCCTTTGAGCAGAAACCATGTAATCCCCATTCATAGTTTCACAGATAAAACTTTACCCGTGAAAACATGGGCGCACTGAAAGCAGCACCCAGCACTTAGTAAGTACCCAGTGAATGGCAGCCATGAACCATCCATGTTAGCTACATTCTGGGTATGGCCTTGCACGCACACACACACACACACAAATGGTCATGCAGGCTGAGTGAGTGTGTCTTCATTGAAAAGCTCGGGAGCAGAGGTGTATTGGTTTGCAGACATGTTTGGACTTTGGAGTACTCAGATAGGGTGGCCGTAACCCTGGAAGGGTCTCAGATCTCCAGATCCGGGGTTAGAGACATTGGTCTGTGCCAGGCAGAGTGGAGGTGCAGGCAGCTGGAGCTTGGAGGCCAAGAGGCTGGAATGCTACGAGTCGGGAATCAGCAAGCAGGGGCAGGCCCAGGCATGGTGTTGGCATCAGCAAAGGCACTGAGGCAGGATCAGTTAGGGCAGATTTAGAAACAAGCCAGAGACTGGTTTGCCAGGACTGAGCCCGAACTACTCCCTAGGCATATAACATATGTCAGACTGGAGCTGGGCTCTGTGGCATAACCTCATTTTCCCCCGGGATGACAGAGGACACGCATGACAAAAAGGCAGTTCAGGGGGCCACAGTCACAATATGTTCAGGATTCAGGTCTCAACCCCAGTCTGTCTGACAGCGTGGTGGAGGCCTGGACCAAGCTGTGCAGCCCACACAGCACTCCAGGGTCCAGGGAGGGGGGGGAGCACAGCAGCAGGGACAAAAGATGAGACTCAGGTGACACTGAGGGCCCCACCCTGAGCTTCCCTAGTGAAGACGCAGATGCCCCTCCCCCTTGTGTAGCCCAGTGCGAGAAGTAGGACTGAGAATGCCAAACAAGAGGGGCACCAGAGGCAGAGCCTCTCTCCGGGGCCCGGAATGTTCTGTGACCAGAGAGTCTCGAGCCCCACCTACCGGCCTGAGGCTGCTTCAAGTTCTGTGGGAGCCAGGCAAGTCACAGTGTCCCCTGGCCTTTAGGACCAACGCCAGATCCCCATCCTGTCCCTGGGGCTCTTTATACTGCGTGAAAGACCATAAATCACGACCTAGACGCTGAAGCCCCATAGCAGCCACTTTTAGCTTCGCACAGCCCTTCCGGTGTGCCAGGCACGGCCCCCGGCACGGCCCTCCACATCTCCTTATCTGTCTGCAAGGTGGGCACTGTTACCTTCCCGCGTTAGTGGCAGGGGCAGTGGGCTCAGAGGCAAGGGTTTGTTTAACCCTCTGCACCTAGGAAGAGAGAGATGGTCAGGCTGAGTGTGGAGCTCCGTTTGGCTTGCAGCACATGAATTGTGATGCTTGCTTCATGCTGGAGTGCTGTCGACGTTTAGTAAACACGCAGCAGCGTAAGATGGTATCAGATGCCGACTTCACGGCCTGCTTCTCTCCACCACACGTGGGTGTCCCTAAAGCAGGAACTTGGCCTTCTTCTGTTCCCAACCCCAGTACCCAAGACAGGGCCTGGTGCACAGTGGGGGAGAACAAGAGGAGTTTGTGTAGTGAATGAATAAGGGAAGGAAGGAAGGAAGGAAGGAAGGAAGGAAGGAAGGAAGGAAGGAAGGAAGGAAGGAGGAAGGAAGGAGGAAGGACCGAATGAGAGGATTGAGCGAGTGAAGGGATGATAAGTCAGTCAGTGAGGAAATGAGAGAGCAGATGCATACGAATCCCACAAGGCTGCAGGAAGGAGCAGGCCTGACCCCAGAGTGTGGAGAGGGGCTCTACGTGCATATGGGCTTGGGGCCTGTAGCCACAGGTGCTCCGGGAATGCAGACCCAGAAGTCGACTCTGTCCCAGGCTCTGCCTGTGTCTCTGAGGAAAATGATGTTTTGCATGGCTCTCTAAGTGTCCAGGTGCAGGAGAGGAGAAGGCAGACACAGTTATAGCATCGCTCCTTCAGACTCTCGTATGTGGCGCAGCTGCCTCCAGGAAGTTTGAAGACGTTTATAGATGGGATCGATTGCCGACAGCCACCCCAAAAGGCTGGGGCCAGCGGGGAAGAAGGGAAGCAGAGCCAGGCCACAAAGAAGGGGGAAGGGCCCCACAGTCCAGCTGTGGCCACGAAGGCCAGACACAGAGCCTGGCTTTCCACATTCGGTGTACAAGGAACACAGAGAGGGCAGACTGAGGTCAGCAGCCAGGTGCGCCTGGGCTCTACAGCCAGGTCTCCCCAATCCAGCTGACTCAGCCCTCACAGAGCCTCCCAGCAAGCCTAGCTTTGCTCCCTACACAGACCCGAGCCTCGGGACACATTGGGGCTTGCTTGGCTGTGAAGGCAAGCGGGCACACTTCTCTTGTCCACCACCTCAGATCGATCTTACACCACACGCCTGTAGGAGTGTGTGCTCTGTTGGACATCCTTCCCCTTGTGACCCGGACCTAGTGATGGTTCTGCTTTGCCCGCTCTTTGTGCCAATTGCAGCTCAAGTGTCTACCTGCGTTCTGTGGTTTGCTCCTTCGGTTGAAAGCGCAGCTGGTATCATCTCGGAAATGGAGCTTTTCTGCTCCCTTCCAGAAAAATCCTTAGCAGACTACTTGGGGGTGGGGGGAGTGATGGTCAGGTGTCGTGGGTAACAAGAACCAGAGCCTTCCTGTGCGTAGACACCGATCCTGAGAGCATCTGGCTTTCCCACCTGGGCAACCATGTCCTCATCCATGAAGTTGGTATAAAATACACACTCCCTCGGCCTTCTTGCTCTGGCTTGGAAACCACCCTGCTCCAAACCCTAACCCACACCGAAATGGAGCTGGGTGTGAGACCAGAGGGCAGGGAGGACAGGAGACCCCTGCTTCACTGCGGTTCCCATCTGCCTGCCCCCTTGGGACTTGATATGGGGTTGACCGTGAGGGCCAGCCCCCAGACCTTAGGTGGGCAGTGTCTGGTTTTTACCCACTGCAACTCACAGCAGCCCCGGGAGGTCTAGGAGGCAAGAGCCACATCCCCACTGAGAGCTGCGGAAACTGAGGCCCCATGAACGCTGAAGGCCAAAGTCACGGGGCACGCGTGCCCTTGGCGGGATGTGACCTGGCTTTCCTTTCCACAGGCTTCCTCCTCGAAGCAGGCCTCCGGAGTTATAAATGTCTCCATGCTTAGCAATCTGCTCCTCTATTCCCGGGTGGACTTCCGCTAGCTCTGGCCTTATGCTGCGCTAGATAAGACGGAGCAAGGAGAGGGTGCAGTGCTCACTTACGTAACCGGCCTCTTGAAAAATGGAGCAGCGGTCAGGGAGGAACGAGATGTCCTCTCTCCGCTCATCCTTCTCCTTCCACTGCTGAGGCTGCAGCCAGAGTCAGATGCAGGTCCCTTCCAATCAGTCTTTGAGAAGAGACACAGCCAGGCCCAGCCAGGCTCAGTCAGCATCCTCCAGCTGGGACCCTGCCTCAGTTTCCCCATAAACAATGAGGCTCAGAGCCAGTGAGGCCAAAATGGGATAGGACACCCGGCAGTGCCTGGCAAACAGCGGGCCCCCGGGACTGTTGATGCCACTCCTTGTGGCTGCCTGGCTTGACCCCGAGTGACCTTGCCTCCTAGGTCTGCAGCAGGAGAAAGTGATCCTGGTTACGGCACCTATCTGTGAGAAACCGAGCCCCGGAGCTATTTCCAGGCGGGGCTGAGGTGATGAACCAGGAGCCGGCCCTTGCTATGGTCATGAGAACAGAGGGAAGGCAGGCCTTCCAGACGCTGACTCCATGAGTCTCAGTTTCACTCGGGGCTGTCAGCCTTCGCTGGACTCACCTGTCAGGAGCTTCTAAATTTGTCCGATCCCCACAGCACCCAGGACTGGGGCGGCCCTAATTAGGCTAATTTCAGCTTCCTGAGGGAAAGAGCAGAATGACCAGCCCTCTGCCTGCCCCCCCTCCTCCTGCTGCATTCCCTTATGTCTCCCTCTCTTTCTGATTGGACAAGGAAGACATCAGAAAGTGTCCTCAGAGGGGCGGGGTGGGCTTCAGACCACAGAGTAGTGCTCCTCCTGCACACCGTACAAGAGAAAAGAAAGCCTGCCCCCGTGCTTCCTCAGGTACTGACCTGGTTCTACTCATTCTGTGTCTGGTGCCTCCCACCTGTGTCTCGTGCAGTCTTTCTCGTGGCCTTAGGGATGTCCCCATTTTACAGATGAGGAGATAGAGGTGGGGTTCTAACTTGGATCATGTCAGGAGCCACTTGGATTTCCTGGGTGCCCTGGTTTCGTCATCCTTGACCTTGGTTTGGGGAATTGCTGTAGGGGACAGTTACTCCACGGCTCAGGTATGCTGAGACCTCCTCCTACGCACTAGTATGCTCATGCCCTTCCTTGTTGCTCCAGAGGAAAGTCGAGTGAACTGGCATTATTCCCACTTCACAAAGCAGAACGCGGAGATTCAGAGAGGCAGCACGGTGGCCCACGGCCACCTAGCCGGTAATAGTGGAACAAGATACAGGCCCAGGTCCAGGGTGGCTACAAGGTCATGGGCAGATGCCGTGATGGAGACCCACACCAGCAACGGGGGCGACGGTAACAGATGGGGATGACGGGCCCCTTTCGCTGTGCCAGGTAGCAATCAGGTGTCTGTGTGCTGGTCGGAGTGGCTTGAGGTATAGAAGTGGCGTGATGACAGCGGTTGCCAAGAGCTGAGAGCTTCCTCGGGAGGAGGACTGCGGTGCTGACTGGGCTGGCAGCCCCAAGAAGCAGCTAGTCTCATGGGCCCCACCTTTGAAGATGAGGAAACAGAGGCAGGAGTGTCTAGTCAAACCGACAAGGAAAGGAACTATTGGTCCTCCCCTACCCCCTGAACCCCCACCCCCTCATCCCCTCACCCTCCCACCCCGGCTCCAAATGCCAAGTAAGAACATTTTTCTAAATGTTCTGAAAATGTCCTTGAACAAAAAAGGACGTTTTTTCCAGCTGGGATTGGAGGGGTCAGACATCTGGCCCAGGGAACCCAGAGAATGACGGAGCACAGCCCCCTACACCGCCTTCCCACACCCAGGCCACATCTAAGACCCGACCGCCAAATCTGTCAACCTAGATGGTCCAAAGTCTGGGTGCTTGTCATGTGCTTCATTTGGGGCGAGAGGAGACGTTTTAGAGGAGACCTTTGCCAGGGAAGCTGTTAGTTAATTGGCAGTTCCTAAGAACGCTGCCCCAGGAAGACACGAGAGTCCTGAAGAGGGACAGTGGCCATGCTTTATTTGTCTACAGTGCCCTGGTCAGAGTACTGGGGGAGATAAAATTAGAATCCTGCAAAAAGTCAGGCTCAGTGGCCTTAAGGACAGCCTAACTAAGTCACAGAAGACCCTGGGCTCTGATGCATCGGGCTTTTAGAAACCTTGTGAGTCCAAAACATGCTACCAGGCTCTCAAAAAGAGTCCCATTCTGGGGGCCCCTCACCCAGTCCTGTGTAGATGGCATCTGATCCCAGCTTGTGGTAGGAGGTGAGTCGTTTTGCTGAGGAGCAGTCAGGAGCCCATAAACCCTAGGGTGATTATAAAACCCAGCCCCTCTGATAGCCCCGTGTGAGCAATATGGGGGATTTTGTCATTACAGGATCTGGGCCACTGGACAAATTAGAGCCCTGTCATTTCCTTTCTTTCTGACCCTGACTACTTCAGCCCCCATTTTCCCATCTGTAAAATGGGAATCACTTGTGTACTTCCCAGGGCTTGCTGAATCCTAAAGAGGACTCATAAGCAATATCACCCTTCACCCCTCATCTGTTCATTCAACATTCAATTATTCTCACCTGCAGGGTGCCAGACAGGACTAGCCACAGGGAAAGGGGTGAACAAGGGAGACAGCAGGGGAGACAGAAAAATTTCCTCGTGTGCTAAGACCCTGAAGTCAATAAACATGGGCTAGTGTGACAGAGCCAGCAGTGGCGATATTTGAGCTGGGATGTGTGTCACTCTATACTTAGGTTAAAGGAGGTCACAAATCTTCCCAGTAAAGAAGGAATCTGAGAGCGACTGTGGCCAGGATCCCATCTGCTGCTGTGACCATATTAGAGCTAAACCCTGGGGTCTCAGTTTCCCCACCAGTAAAATGCAGGCAAGAAAGTGTCTACCTGTGGTAGCTCTAAGAATCCTGTGAGGCAATACTTGCCGGATTCTTCTTCCCCTGTAGACATTTGATGAATGCCTCGAGGATTCTCACAGACACTCAGAGTGGACACCACACACAATGTTAGTGAGAGTTCTAACAGTAAGATCAAGGCAGCTCACAAACCACCCCTCCCTCCCATCCTTCATGCCCTTGGCTGAGAAGAGAAGTGATTGACGCCTGGCCTGGGAGAAATTCTTGGAGTGTTCAGGGTTTATTTATTTGAGTTCCCACCAGTGCCACTCATCACTCAACCCAAGAGCCTTTGGAGGCTTCAAGAACTTCACCTGCATGGACTCTCAAGGTCTCCCACCTTGAGTCACAGTGCAGACTGTCACATCCAGGGACATCGCCTTGGGGACAAGAGGGTGCGGTGTCTATTTCTCAGGTCAAAGCTCAGAAAAGTGAGAAGTCCAGTCTTTGTCCCCCAACCCCCCAGAGCCTGATCCAGGGCAGCAGCACGGGATTGCTGATGAAGCTGTCGTCAGTTTGAAAATGTTATTTATATTTGCAGAATGTGACAGTAGCAGGAAGAATCCCATTGCCCTTCTGCAACTTCTCTGGGGTTAACACTTACATAACCTCAGTACAGGGTGACAAGTCAAGAATGACGTACACATGTCCTGTAGAGACTGGGCAGACACAGCAGACTTCAGGGGGCTCCCAGGATCCTCTGGTGGGCTTTGGAAGTTGCTTCACACTGTTTTTTCATGCATCACTTATTTCCCCCAGGAAACTGGTCCTGCTTCCCTCCATGGATACAGAAGGGACAGAAGCAGGCTAGGATTTTTCCCAGGAAGGGTCTAAACCTCTCACTCTGTTCTCATATCTCAATGATGCATTTTCTAGGGGTGATAGGAACTGGCAGACCAGAATCCCACGGGGTTCTCAGAGACACTGAATGACGAATTCCATGACTACTCTGATTTCTTGTGTCTAACAGCAGAATTGTGCAAAGAAACTGCTGGTCTGGAAGCCTCCATTTCCTCACCTGCAGATTAGGCATCATGACCAACAGTAAGGCGACTGTGGGAGCCAAAGAAGATTCTGTACACAGAGAGTTGAAACAGCTGGAGCACAGCCGACACTATCCATCGCAAGTGGTAACAGTGTTGCTTTTCTTTTGCAGAGTTCTCCTCTCTGGTGGCTGAAAGTTAAGTGGCGCCGACTGCCTGGGTCTCCCACCTCTCTACCCCCAATGCCCCATCTCAGCTCTTCTCGCCGCCCTCCTAAGTTTCTGTTCAGTTTGTTTATGGTATTTTTTACTCCCCCCATCCTCTATGGCCCCTGAATGACACCATTCTTCTGGAAAATGCTGGAGAAACAATAAAGACTGTACCAATCGGACACCACCTGTAGGGAGGACCAGGTCTGGTAGGGTGTTGGTTTGGCACGATTTTCAAGGGCAGTGGGGTAGGCTGGGAAAGGGGGTTGATGGAAGGGCTGTGTCCTGGCATTTCCTCCTGTTGGATACTGAGTGTTCACCTGGGCCACCTTGTTCAGTCCTTGCACCTATCCCACAAGGAGGTGATGGACTTCCATCTTAAAGACAGAAGCCATTTTAAAGATGGGAAGTGAAGCATTTGAGCCCACACACGATTACTCTATGTACCTTCAGGAAGCGCTGGATCAAAAGACTCCCACGGCACTCTATTAATTGCTTTTGACTCTGCTGTGGTGAAAACCTTCTAAGAGCAACAGTCTATTTTGGCCCACTCCAAGGGTGCAGTGTGTCACGATGGGGAAGTCAAGGAGGCAGGAATATGTAGCAGGTCACACTGAACGACATCATCTCCACAAGTCAGGAAGCAGGAAGGGACAAACGCTGGTGGTACCAACTGGCTTCCTCCCTTTTTATCCAGCCTGGGAGTCCAGCCCATTGGGGGATGTTATCCACATTGGGTCTTCCTTCTTCAGGCTAATCTACAAACTTCCCTATGAGCACACCCAGACGTTTGCTTACTAGACCAGTGCTTCTCAACCTTCCTAATGCCATGACCCTTTAATACAGTTCCTCATGTTGTGATGACACAAGCCATAACATTTTCGTTGCTACTTTGTAATTTTGATACTATTATGAATCATCATGCAAATATCTGTGTTTTACGATGGTCTTAGGTGACCCCTATAAAACGGTCCTTCAACCCCCAAAGGGGTCATGACCCACAGGTTGAGAACTGCTGTCCTAGATGATTCTAGGTTCCACCAAGTTGACAAGCTGAACCATCACAAATACTCACAAAAGCGAGTCCTTCCTTCATTGCTCATGTCTAAGAACTGCCTCCCTCCCTGATGAAATAGTGGCCGGGTCAAGCCCTCCTCTGGTGCTGGCAGAACTCCGCAGCATCTCAAAGCATACACACAGAAAGGCCAGCAGAAATGGGCTCCTCCTTGCTGGTCACCCACCCACAGACCCACACTCAGCTGCTCAGGTAGTCTCGAGAAGTTTTCAGGAGCATGTGTTTGCAGAGACCCTTGCAGGATGCCATTTGACACACCCTGTGACAACACCCCTGGATAGTCGAAGGAAGATCAGTGGTTTTCTAAGGTCACACAGTGCATAAGTAATAGAACCAGGGCCCCAAGCCCCAAGGCACTCCCAGATCCTGTGTCCCTCTATGAACATTTCCCAGTGGCCAGAAGGGCCTTGAGCAGGTCACTTGTGGTCACACACATCCTCAGAAATGAGGTTCAGCCACTCAAGGTCTTTATTGTCAGAGGGGAGGGGAGGAAGCTAGGGTAGAGAGAGGCTGAGCAGGCAGACACAGAAACACAGCAGCCCTGAACGGTGGCAGGTGGCCCTTTAAGTGTCCTGTGCAGGAGGACGGGCTAGAATTCCTTCACCTGTTCTCTGCGGGATGAGGGTGAGCAGGCTGCAGAGTGGCACCCAGGTAGAGCAGGCAGAGCAAGCAGAACATTGCCTGGGAGGAGACCCAGAGCCACCTGTGCCGATGTGCCCAGGCCCGTCCGGCCTCAATGGCCAGCACTCAGGGCAGAGTGAATGGGAGTGGGTGCTGGGCAGCAGAGTGTGTGTCAGTGAATACGAGTACATAGGTACGCATGTGGACGGCGGGGACAATGCTAGGGCCAGGGTGGACCCAGAGGTCCATGTAGTTCTCAACCTTGAATACCGAGGTAGAAGTAAGGGTGAGAACCGGAGACCACCCTGTGCTAGACCACAAGGAATGCAGGGAGCCTCCAACAAGGATGCTGTCTTCCCAGAGTCATGCCCCTGTCGTGGTTGTAACTTTGGGTTGACATTCTTACATGCTGGCCCCTTTGCTGTGTGGAGGTGGGCTGGCTGGCTCCTTCCAGGCTCTGGGAGGAGACATTGGTGGGACTCCGAGAGTCCCTGGGCCACTGCAGTGGCCCCCTGCCTTTTCTCTCCCTCCCCTACAGCTGCACACTTGGAGAAGAGGGCGTTTTCCAAAGTACAGGTCAGCTCTCAGTGTTCGTCTAGAAACTGAGGGAGTCCTCGGTCTGTTGATGACACTGCAGCTCTGGCCCAGGCTCCCTGTACCTGCCTCCCTCAGCGGGGGTTCCGCCTGCCTCTTCAGTCATCCAGATGGCACCCTCTTGCCTCGTTAGTTAGTCTAGATGGCACCTTCCTGGCTCTTCAGTCATCTAGATGGCACCCTCGTTGGACCCTTTGGCTCCTGTTGGTGCCACTCCCCAGCCACCTGTGCTGACTCAAAACAACCACCCTGACGGTTGCTCCAGCCAGAGTCAGAATCCACACTGTCCCCTGCAAGTGAAATGGGGACAGGAGAGTGTGTCCCATCCCTTCCTGGCAAAGGCCATGTGATTGTCACAGGCAGGAAATGCCGGTTGGTTCCCCACTAGAGGCCAGAACTAGCCCTGTTAGGATGCTGGGAGCCATCCACTGGGGCATGCGGGTGGCCCAGGGGTCCAATGAGCTCTGACTGAGTCAACCAGAAGAGGCTGAGGGCTAGCCTAGCACCATATTCAGCACCGCATGCCCACAGTTTAAAAAGTAAAGGGACACGTGCCGTGAAGGCCAGGGAGCTGGCCTCGAGCCTCTTGCTGTCTCTCTTCCATGGGGCCTCATCCACAGAGCTCTGCTAACTCAGCAAGGAAAGGGGACTGACTAGGGAACCTCGCCCTTAGAACACTTCCCTGCAGAACCTGTCACTGGGCTCTGAGGTCCCCCAGTCGCCCGGCTAGGACACCTCTATCACCACCATTTGCAAACTCTCTGTATTGCTCCCCCACATAGACGGGACCGGACTTCCTTTTCCTAAACTCAGGGGAGCCTCCTGGTCCCCTCCACCTGGGAGCGGAAGGAAGGTAGTGGACTGTGGGAGGAGCCACCAAGCCAAGTGGCTTTTGCAGTATCACACCACACATGGATAATAAGGAGTGACTCAAGCACCCTGGCCCACAGTGCCCCAGGACAGGAGGCAGTTAGAGGGGCAGAGGAGTGACAGTGTTCGGGAAGAGCAGAGGCGGACAAGGCGGCCTGGCAGGGTTGCTCAGGCTCCCCAGCACCGTGGGCTTGGAGATGCGGCTGCGGGAAAGGGAGAGGTTGACTTCCAAGCCTGCCTCTCCTTCACACACCCACCACGTCTCAAGAGGCTCTGTGTGGCCATCCATCATGGTCTGAACGCCACATCCCTCCAGAGTTTCTGAGGAAATCTAATCAGCAGCTCAGTATATTAAGAGGTGGGGCCCCAGGAGCCTTGCTTTATAAATAGCCTCGAAGGACAGAGGCTGGGGAGGTGGTTGTTGTTAAATACACAGTGTGCAAGCAGGAGGACCTGAGTTTGGTTCCTGGCGGCTATATAAAAATGTCAGGTGTGGTGTCATGCCTGTAATCCCAGCACTGTCCACGCACAGGAGGATCTATGGGCCGGTTCATTGGCTATTCAGAAGCCAAATGAACTCCGGGTTCAGTTGGAGACTATCCCAAAAAGGAAGAAAGACAAGGGCTGGAGAGATGGCTCAGTGGTTAAGAGCACTGGTTCCTTTCCAGAGGACCCAGGTTGGATTCCCAGCACACACCCTGTGGCACACTATCACCTGTAACTCCAGATCCAGGGGATCTGATGACTCCTCTGGCCACTGTGGGCACCAGGCATGCAAGTAGTGCATAAACACACATGCAGGCAAAACACCCAAACACATAAAATAAAAATAACAAGCAATAAGAAGACACAAGAGATTTCTGGCCACCCTATCTTTCACACACATACACATGTACCTAGGCACATACATGTACACAGGAGCCCAAATACACAACATACATAATAAAACAGGGTTGGCAAGATGGACCAGTGGATAAGGGTGCTTGCTGTCATGGCAGACAACCTGAGTTTGGTCCCCAGGACCCACACGGTGAAAGGAGAGAACTGAATCCCCACACCTAGATAGATAAATAGATAAATGCAAAATCAAACTTAAGAGATGTCCAAGAGCCTGTTTGTCCCTCTCCACATGGAAGAGGCCTTGTGCATGAAGCAGAGACCTCAGCCGACTCCCAGTCTGCCAGAATCCTGACCTTGGATCTCCAGCCTTGAGGACAGTGAGCAGCCCATCTCTGCCACGCACAAGCTGCCAAGTGTAAAGTGCCTGCTAAGGCAGCTGAGATGGACCAAGATGTCACCTCTCAACCCATGCCACAGGCGCCCAAGGGCGAGTCTATTTTTCACATGAGAATAGGAAGGTTCTGGGAAATTGGGTAGCTTCCCTAAACCACACAGCTAATACAACTGAAAATAGCAAAGCTTTTTTTTGCTCATTCAACCACTGAACAGAAAAACACAGCAAAGAACGACCAGGATGGAGATGATGTTTTGCTTGAGGACAGCATTGTCCTGGGAGCGCACAGCCACAGGAGGGTGGGTGTGTACTCACTGGGTGAAGCTAGAGGGCACTTTGAAAGTCCAAAGTGAGGAGAATCACACAAAATCTTCTGAAACAGTAACCATTGGCCTCTGTGGTTACAAATGGGGGCGGTGTCAGGTTGAGGGTGAAGACAGAAATAGCAGGTGTCCTTTTAAAGGTCAAAGGATAACTTCATGCTGTTAATTCTCTTTCCACCGTGTGGTTTCTGGGAATTTAGCTCAGGTCGTTTGGCTGGAGCAGCAGTTCCCTGTGCCTGACCAGCCATCGCACCGGCCGATAGTGATGGCCACCACAGCCCTTCACAAGAAAGCCCTTCACCTGACCAGCCATCGCACCAGCCGGTAGTGATGGCCACCTCAGCCCTTCACAAGAAAGCCCTTCACCTGACCAGCCATCGCACCAGCCGGTAGTGATGGCCACCACAGCCCTTCACAAGAAAGCCCTTCACTGGGCAGGGCTATGGCTGTGGCCGACTCTTTGAA